CACGGGCAAAGCTTCTAGGATTTGCAAAGTACAGAGCTTCTTTCTTCCAGCATCGCAGCACTGTGGTACTCCCTAAGCAGTCATTCTTGTATTTCTAACCGTAGGACAATGTGCAGGGGCGATCTTGTCCTTACGGAAAGGCATACAAGAAGCATGGAGATCATCTCTCTGCATGGAAATTATATCCCTGGAAAAAACAAACAAACAAAAAACCCCCAACTCCTAGCAAAGATGGGATTGCAAGGTTTTTGGGAGGATTCTCATGACAAGCTCTATAAGTTCAAGGAAGACGACATTTATGCCATGTAAGAGTCCACAATCTGTCTGGAAGCCTTTAAGGAATTTTGAGACGACCAGGTATAACCGTACCGCCGCACAACATATGTCAGAAAAGTGCATCTAACCGAGTTAAACATTAACCTTTTATGCATTTCAGTAAATTTGTATTTCAAAATATTTAGCACTGGCCCAGCAGAGTCCTCACTATTTTCTTTTGCTATACTAGAGGATTCCATGAACGGGAGAGTTTTTCCTAGTCAGAACTCCTACAAACTGAAATCTGTACACCAGACAGGAAACGGTCTCCCTCTTTATCAGCTGCCCTCGGCCAGCAAGCAGGTTCAATGACTATTGATCCTACCACACTTTACTTCAGAGCCACAGCAAGAAGCTCCAGTATTCAGAACATACCATGCTGCACAACACCTGCTCCCTTTCTGTGATTTGGGGCCCCTCCTTACTTTTTCCATTATCTTCTCTGCTTCTCATAGCTTCTTCGGGCTACACAAAGCTGCTGCCATTGGCTTAGCCCAATGCTAGAAATGCCACTGGAGCAAGAGCTGCAATATTTCCCTCTGACATCCTACAACAGTCTTCCTAGAGCTCTGATTTTTAGATGTCCTTTTTCTGCTTGGCAAAATACTGGATGTCACCAGCCTGCCCACAAGCAGGATCCTAATGCCAGTTTCCCTGGAGCCCTAGAAGACTTTTTAAGGGCCTCTGCAGAAGGAGAGCGCTACAGTCACATACCTACATGTTCTGGCAAATAAAGTACACAGAGCATCTGCTTAGAAAACCTAACTCTAACACTAAGTCTCTCTTGCTTAAGCAGTCTTCTGAGGGGAAGTTCATAATAGGACAAATAAAACATGAAGCCTACAAGCTTCTGTTCATGCAATAAAAAAAATACATGCATGCACATATGCATGAATAATTAGCTCATTTCTATGTTTAGATACCTGGAACTGCTGCAGTAAAGGCATTAACGTGTTTTCCCAAATATTTTGAAAATGCATGTTTAAGTGTCTCCTCTAATATCACCCCTTCCAATGAAGGACTGTAAAGCAACAGTCAAATCAGAAATATATCATGCCTTTGATGTCTTATAGTTAGACAAAAGGCAAGCATTTACACTCCCCAGCTTTAAAGCAAGTTTTCAACTCAGCTTCATTTATCAAATCAAAGAAGGAGCCCAAATGACTAAGAGTTCCAAGTAACCATAAAAAAAAAATTAAAACCTAATCTCAATGACAAGGAAATAGGAGAAGAAACTGTTTAAGATAGAGGTGTGTCCTTATCAATCCAAATCTTGTAATAATTGAAGATACGTCAAGTGAAACATGAACACACTAAGATCAGTAGCTTTATGAAGTCCTAAACACATTTATCAAAAACAAATAACTTAAAAATAAAAGTAAGCACACACAACTGAACTTTAAGAGTTAGCCCTCTACATTCATACGTATTCACTCATACTCAGCAGCATCAAGACCAATAAAATAGCAAAATAGCAGGGGTTTTTTTGGTCTACAACAGTCATGAGCAGGACATAAGTGGGCAAGGGAAACTATCTGCACAAAGGCAGGTTCCAGAGAAAAAGAACTGACAGTAAACAGAATATCTTCTGGAACATTTTCTTTTCCCCCCCCGTTAGTTGAGGAAGAAAACATAGCTTGCCAAAAACCTAGGCAAAATAAACTACAGGGTAAAGCACTTCACAAGGAGGCCAACAGGCTCCAAACAACTGCTGTACATCTTCCACGCGTATTTCCAAGTGACCGCTCTCTCCTCATCTCAAACATGCTATACATTAGCATTCTAGTGCAGAATAAACCTCAGTCCTTTTCAGACGGAATCTTTAATTTCAGAATAGCAAGAGTACTTTGTCAAGCACACTCCAAATTCTAAATACTGATGTCACCAGAGGGCACTATTTCAATCCAACTGACCTAGCTTTAGCAAAAGTTCTGAGCAAAACCGCCGCCAACCCACATGCAGGGATGTGCAGAGGCTGTAATTTTGCTTATGCAAGAGATTCCCCTAAAAAAAATGAGTGAAATGTAAATATTTACCTCAGAAAAGCTAAATATTTTTCAGCATAAGCAGAGGCACTGCTATTAAAGATAGCACAGTACAGAAGTTTACGCTGATTGTTATATGGTGCACTTGAGGGCACCATTCAAGTCATTCAGGCAAGTTTTTTTGTACCTATGTGCAACACAGTTTACAGAACCAGGACCCAAGCCAATGCAGCTCATGTAGAGGTGCCTATGAAAGCCCTGTGACCATATTATCATTGATTCTAAACTTTACAATAATACATGAAAAATACATGTATATGTTGTCAAGAGATCACCCTGGAAACAATATATTTCTCTATTCCTCGTTATTCTGTACTTATTTTATGCTGTGTTGAGAGGGACAAAAATTAGACTATTAACACAAAGATAATACAAAAGTATCGTTGATGTCAGTAGTTTTCAACCCATGGTCCACCTGTTATTTCTAAAGGCCTGAGGTCTAATAAGGATTTAAAAAAAAAAAAGTCTAGGCAAGTTGAAGTTTACTAGGCAAAAATATGTGCAACCACCAGAAAACACAATAGGTCTACAAATCAAAAGAGGTTGCAAACTCCTGTTTGATGTGAAAAGTAGAGTCCATTGAATTTAGAAACAAAACACCACCACCACTGTACTAGTAAATTTCTATCAATTTCTACAATTTCTATCCTTTTAAAAAACTCCAAAATTGCAGGTCTACAAAGCACTGATTACCTGGTTATCTGCTATACCACTCGTCCACCTACCCCACTTTAAACAGGAAGATATTCTCCATCTCTTTCATCCACCTGCATTATCCACAGGAAAGAAAAAATAAGATCTGTGCAAAGGCACTTTTTGTTAGCACAGGGATCTCTCAGATACGTAAACACATCCACAGAGATTCACCAGGCAGTAACTACTATTAAACACACAGGTGGAAGTTACTTCAGACTATTACCTATCATCATCACTCATCTCAGTTTAAAAGATACCTGTAATTGCTTTTCCAGCATCTGCTGCCAGGAAAGAAATACACCAAACAGGTTTGATGTCAAATAAACAGCATGTTTGTCTAACCTCTAAAGCAGGTCCCTGTCTACTGCAGGACAATAGTATCACCAGTCTCGGTGCTCTAAACTTACCCCGTTTTATATGAAGAGTTGCTATCGTGGCTCGATACCCTGCAAACCCCTCCTAGCTCAGGGCGTGCCTGCTCTGACCCGGCCTAAGGCTCGTGCTGCTCTATGCCTCGTCTCACGGTAACTCGGCTCTGCTCAACTCCAAGGTGCCCCAACCCCCCGCTCTGAGAACGAATTACTCGGTGTCAGTAGTCCCTGGCGGCCGCAGCAGCGCTCAGGCCACACGCCACGGCGATTCGCCCTCCTCGACCTGCCCCCAGCGCACCTG